AGGGAGCATTGGCCTCATCTGCATGCTTCACTGCCTTAGAGGGAGCATTGGCCTCATCTGCATGCTTCACTGCCTTAGAGGGAGCATTGGCCTCATCTGCATGCTTCGCTGCCTTAGAGGGAGCATTGGCCTCATCTGCATGCTTCACTGCCTTAGAGGGAGCATTGGCCTCATCTGCATGCTTCGCTGCCTTAGAGGGAGCATTGGCCTCATCTGCATGCTTCGCTGCCTTAGAGGGAGCATTGGCCTCATCTGTACGCTTCACTGCTTCAGAGGGAGCACTTTTGTCATCGTGACTTGACCCGTTAGGTTGTGCCCCGTTGACTTGATTTGTTTTTGAGGGAGGATGTATATCTTTTGTGTCGTGAAGTGGCGCGTGTGTTTTGGGCGCATCGATTTTGTTGAAGGCACCTTCATTGCCAAAGTGGTACGTCAAAAGACAAGGCGAGCGAGCTGCCAGGCACGATCGTAGCAGTTTGTTAACGGCGTCTTCGTCCCGCAGAGGACGCTTATCGCAGATGTCACTCCCGACGGCGTAGAGCTGGATACTCACCGACGCCGGAGGCGGTTTCTGAACGGCATCGCGCACAGCCATTGCCAGAGCCTTCAGCACACCCTGCCGAGGTGGAATGAATCGCTTCTCCGTTACCACATCGCTACCGAGGTGATATATGCGCAGGTGCACAAGGCCGTCGTCAGCTAGCATTGAGCTAGCGAGCCTACCCAAGCGTTCTTTGAGCGCAACCTTGAAGAAGGCGTCGTTTAGATTGGAGGAAGAGAAGAACTTCGCCACGTCTTTGTCAACACGTAGCGTCTGTAGACTGCCGGTGTCAGTGTGGCTGATGCTAATGTCGAATGCACCACTTTGCAGTCGCAGGTCCTGTCCCTTAAGCAGCTCTACCACCTCACGGAGGGTACGCGGCACTCGCTCGACGTTAAACGTCCTCCGCGTACATTCACCACTCCCGCTGTGTACCTCCAGTGTGCAAAAAAGTGTTCTGCCTCCCATCGCGTCCTCATACAAATACGGAAATCCTACAGCTTAAGAGAAAAAACGAGCCTTCAAGGCAACTCCAGTACCTCCTCTTGTTGATGTTGTTTAACCCTCCTTGGAGAGAAAAGCAAACAAATAAAAAGTTGGGGGGTGAAGCAGCAAAGCGAGAGAGCGAAGACAAGACAAACCAAGCAGGGAAGAAACAACACACAGCAGAAAACGCAGCCTCCTCCCCGTGTCTCTCCTCAGCTCAGACAACCGCCTAAAAGAGCCCGACGAAGGAGCAGAGAGGTCCGGCGTCCACGCTTCCCTCGCCTCTTCAGAAGCGCCCAGACGAAAAAAAAAACGAGAACAAAAAGTTGTGGCTGAAAAAAAAGTAACACGGCACTCAACTATGAAGCCTTTGTGAAAGGAGCAAATTCAGTGCTGCATCTCAAAAGGTCGTGAAAAATCCTCAGAGACACCGTTTTTCGGGCGCAGACTGATTGTACCGTTCACAATGCGCCCCAAATAAAAAAAAAATCATTGCGCCTTCACACGACCGCTCATTGCTATCATGCGCTTGCCAGCATGAGTACTACGCAGTGCAGTGCGGACAGCTGCTGTTGCCGCCGCGCGACTGCAACACCTGCACCACCACAGCTTCAGCCATAACAAAAGAAAGTGCACGCTCCAGCCGAAGATACGTTGGCGTCGTCGCGACGGTGTTCAAGTCCGACGGACGATGAAGACACGCGGAGAACTCCTCAAGCGTAACACGACCCCCCGTCCTCGTCGCAGTGCGCAAGGGCCAGTCGTCCAAAGAAAAACTGCTAGTGATGTACCGTTGACTGCCTTCACAGGCCCATTTTCCCCCAACAGGTATGAAACGGTCAGCGGCCATGAGAGAGCAAAGCAACGAAGCGTACTACAAAAGGTGGCAACCGCCTTCCGAAAGACACGGTCCTCGAGCCCGTATACTCCTGATGTATTCCATGGCCCTAGAGCCATTCGCTGGCGAATTGCCGCTCCACAAATGTGTCCCGCATCATGTGCCAAAAAAAAAAAGGGCTTGCAGCACGATACATCGTGGCCTTCTCCTCAAGCGTCGTGAAGATCGTGGCATTGTCCAGCAGCATCTTGGTCTTCGTCGTGTTTGGAAACAGTGACGCGCGTAAGGTATTGTACAACGGGCTGGTGCTTCTCCAGCGTGTACGACGAAGCGGTGCACTCCGGCAGCAGCGGCAATGCCCTTCACGGGCCCTTTCCCACGGTGTCGGCGTAGCTGATAGGCAAATACTGCGGATTCCGTGTGCTGTGCATTATGCGACTCAAAAACTAATTCACTTCACCCATGCGGTGCCACCGAAGGCTACAGTCGCGCCGACTAAAGGAATAATAATAATAAGAATTAGCAAAACAAAACAAAAAGCGGGGAGAGAAGCACAGCAAGATGACAATCTGTGAGGCGCCTAGACACGTTCTTCACACACACACACACACACACACATTCCCTCCCTTCTTTCCCTCATTTTATGTGTAGATGTTGCTAGGCAACAATATCACGACGTTGTGTCTCTCTCGCGCAGCCGGCTGTAGCCGCGTTTGAGCTCAACCATAAACGCATGCTGCGACTCAACACGGTCACAAAGCCACTCGTAGAGAGGCGACACCCCATGGGGCACGCCCCCGCCAGTATCCGCGTGCTGTAGCATGTCGTTCAACTTGTCCAGGATAAGGTCCTGCGTCTCGATGAAGCTGGTGAAGGCCCGTCTCGCAAGCTCCTCCTTCACCTCGAACGTGTGAAGCTCGGCATGCAAAGATTTATTCTCCTTTGCCGCGTGAAGCGACTCCTCTCTCTCACGCATAAGGCTCTCCAGCTTCGCCTGAAGCGCATTCGTCGTTTGATGGGCCTCATGAAGGCTCGCCTCCATTTCGGAGAAAAGTGCTGCCTCCGTTGTCTTCACCGCTGCCGCCTTCTTTGCCGCCGCTAGTCGCCTCTCCAGTGACAGGAGACGCTCTTCATACTCCTCCTGCTGACGCATAGACTGCGACAGCTGCCGCTGCAGCTCGCGCTTCTCGTCGCACACCTCGGTAAGCTGCGCCTCGCTACACTCTCGGCGTTGTCGCTCCAGCCGGAGATCCTCCTCCAGCTGTCTTGCAGCAACGCTGTCCCCTGCCGCCGCAAGGGGCGAAGCGATTGTTGCAAACTCCGGGGCGGAGCCACTGCGGGTTCGTGAAGATGTTCGGCAATTGCGTTCACTTGGTGATTTGGCCGACAATGCTGGAAAAGAGTCATCGCCCGTGCGCCGTGTGAGAGTTATAACGGTGTCTACCACGTCATCAAGGGTGTCACATGCCTCGCCAAGCTGCAGCACTTGGCGGAGCTCTGCAAGGCACCGCTGAACCTGTGCCTGCAGCTCCCGATATCGGCTATGGTCCTGCAGAAGAAGTTGGACGTCCTCCAGAAAGCTCCGTGCACGCACACCGGCGTCCGTAAGCGCCCGTCGCACCATCCGCTGGCCTGCGACGAGTGATGCCACTACAGATGGAAGCAGCCGTACCGCCAGATAATCTTCGCCGAGCTGCTGCAGCGCCACGGCAAGGTGCGGCGGAGTTGTCATGCTGGCAATCATCTTGTGTCTTTCCTCCCCCTCTTCCATCGGGTGCTTCGACGACTCCGCGCCATTGGCGCTCGCATGTCCCCCTGACTGCTTCGCTTCCTCGTCACCGGCTTCGTCCTGCATCAGCTGCGAACAGAGGTGCGACACAAGCGCTTCAAGCACATGGAAGCGTTCAACGTCGCTCTGCCGCACCACGCACCTGTCACGGTCAAGAGGCAGTCCCTTCTCCGCACGCAAGAGGGGCTCCTTCACGGTGAACCACGTTACTGTTCCCGCCGTCCTGCCAGTGGCCCACACAATGGTATCAATGCAGCGTAGGCCACCGTGCAGGGTTGAAAACGCATTGCCAGGAAACTGGAAGGACCCCTGCAACGTCCATGCAGCTGTGTCCCACACGAGCACCTGTCCGTCCGCCGCGTAGCTCCAGATGTGTCGTCCAAGCGACATGACGAGTAGACTCCGTATGGTTATTGCATCACTGTGTGCTTGCCACACATGCTGCAGTGATCCATCACTCACGCCTGGCTTCAAGGCGAAGACAATAATGTAGCCCATCACCGTACCAACCCAGAGCTGCCCCCCACTGAGCAGTATGCTGCACGACGGCTCACCGTAATCGTCAACGGAGTAGGCTGGCATGCCAAACGTGAGAGTCTCGTCAAATCCTTTTCGCCAGTTCCACACGTCCACATCTCCACGCTGCGTGATGGTTATAATGCGTTCACGGGCCTCATCTAGCACCACGGCCTGGAGGTGACCACAAATGCGAAACAAACCCGTGGCACTCACCTCCGCCTTGTCCTCACCCTCCCACTCAACGAACACCACCTCACTAAATGTCCCATCAAATGATGAAACCAGCACGCCGGTGCCATTCCCTACCGTTGCACTCACCCCATCCATCGTTACAGGCGTCACGGCTGTCAGCGGTGTACTAAGGTCGCACTGTCGGAGCTCACCCATGGGGTCCTCGGGGTCGACCAGCACGAGACGTCCCTCTGTTGTGACAATACACGCCACGGCGTGGCTTGCATCACGCGTAGTCGGAAATACAACGGCAAGAATGTGATCCCCCTTGCTGCACTCAAAACGGGGAGAAGCAGGAACCTTCGCTGCCGCCACGTCCACATGAGGCACAGCAGACAACGGGGACGCTGATGCAATTAAATCGGCAACGGTAGAAGCGGAAAAGTGGAAGACACGCATCTCTGCGGCGTCAACCGCCCAAACGGCACCGCTCGGATCGCAATAAACGGCAGAGATGGGCGTGCGGTTGGCATCAAAAAGCTCACCCCCCAACGTACACTGCGGGGCGGCAAACATTGTGTACGCAATCCTGTGCTCACTTTATATCTATATATCCCTCCAATTACACGCAGTGCTGCTGCTGCTGATGCCTATGGCGCCCCCCTCCCCCCACACTTCCTAGCGGAATTGATGTCAGAACAGCAACAGCTAGAAACAAAGCACACAATAGCCGCAAAAACATAAACACTCTGTATCGTGCATCACAAGAAACATTTGCAGCAACGTCTACAAGCATAAACAATACGCACACACACACACGTTTGGCAGGGGAGAAAATACAAAATAAATGTGCCAAAGGAAAAGCAACATGGTCCAGGACGTCAGAAGTAAAGCATGAGCGGAAATTGAAGTGGCGTTAGCTGCCACCCCGAGGCCAGGGTCTTTTCCTTTGGACCGCGAATGTACATTAAAGGCAAAAACTCATCCCAGTGGAGCGTCATGGTATCATCAAGCCCCAAGCAAGCATACATATTAGCCAGTTCCGCCGATGTCGGTGGCTCACCATAGAGTCGTGTGAACATGGCAGCGAGGTCTCGCACCTCTACAAACCCTTTTGTCCCTGCTGTAGGCTCAAGATTGAATTCCAAAAATACACGCTGAACCTTTTTAACAAGATCCGCGTCATAAATGCTGCCATCCAGCTGCAGTGCTATAATGAAGGCTTCCCACGGGATGCGGTCTTGTGGTACGCCCTGGCATAGTTTCTCGTAGAAGTCAGGTGTGTAGTTGCCAATGTCTCGTTCTTGACCTAAAATGCTAAGATGCTCACGGAATCCTTCCGCAAGAGCAGAGGCAGGAACAGTGCCGTTTTCCTGCCTTTCCATAAAAAATCGTTTCATGGTACGCAGGCGAATGGCAGCGGGGTGGTTTGTGGGCTTCGGCATTCGTCCCACTGTTTGGGACGCAAGGACGCAATTCCGCCGCGTCTGCTCAAACACCGCCTCTGCCACGCGTGTCGGAATCGCCGTGGAGCGCGTGCCCACCTCCTTTATGTTTGTGTTGCGAACCACCAGCTCCGTCAGGTAGGTGCCGCCCGTCCACGAGATAAACTCATTGCAGGCAAGCTCAATGCGCTCCAACGCCGGATGAAACATTGCCATCCGCGTGATAAAATAGACGGAGTCATTTGTCAGGTAGTTATTGGCGCAATTCAGCAACGTTAGTGCGGGGAGTCGCTTGCACATCTCCACCACCGGCCGAATGCCCTTCGGTCCAACGTAAATGCATGAAAAGTTCAGCGCCGTCGTCGCATTCCAGTCGCCCACGCCGCTGGAGAACATGGCAGCGACGGCTGTGATGGGGTGGCACTGATAGCGCTGGCACAACTCCGCGTACGCCTCGGCAGGCGAGATAGCGTGAAACTCCGACTGCAGTTGCTTGACATTGTACGGCTGCCCCGCACTAGTGTACAAGTCAACCTTCAACTCCTTATCCTGGTCCGGTGCCGCGGGCATTGCAAGCTGCCGCCTCTGCCTCAGTGAAGCCAGCGAAAAGTAATGACGCGCTGCCAGATGGCAAAGAAAAGAAACAAACAAACAAACAGAAAAAAAAAGGACGGGAGGGCGAAGATCAACGAAAAAGAAGTGGGACACAACAGCAGAGCACAGGCATGTCAGCCCCGGCAGCGAAGCAAAAAGCTCCCTGCCCATGCACACACACACGGAGGTATCCACACATATGCATGTACAAAGAGAGAACAAGAATGCGTGAGCAGCGGAAGGCAACTGCAAAAAATAAAAAAATAAGTACACACAAAATCAAAAAAAAATATACGTAAACTGCGGAGCCATAAAGAGACAAAAGCAACAACTTCACCCAACCAACAGCGATAGGCCTTCCAACATGGTACACTAAACACACAGTCACAGAATCAGATACACACGTACATGGGCTCGTTGGCACAATCCACCGCAGCTGATGCCTCACATGCAGGTGATGAAACGGCGCGGTGAACAAAAAAAAAAAGCCAAGACGTCCCTAAAAAAAATAATAACAACAAATAAAAAATATTTTAAACAACTTGTTCATCGGCGAGATGAAGATTGAGCAACACCAGGAACCCGGTGGGCCGTGGCCGCCAGGGGCACGCCACACTCTTCCTCTTTAGTCTTCTCAGTCAGCGACGGGGCAAGAACGGAGCTGCATGTTTGGTTTGACTGCAAGAAATTCCTAAAAAGTACCCTCTTGATGTAAGAAACGAGAATGTCGCGAGCAGCAGAAGTCTCCGTGCAGCAGAACAACGACCCCGTCTTGTGTATTATCACAAAAGCATGCTTCGCAACACCCACGGGTGGCTTCATGGCAAGTTCCTTGACGAGGTAGACGTCCTTCACCGTTGCCAGGCTCCAGGTAAACTGCCTCTGCTCGCCCTCGGTGTGGTGCAAGATGAAGTCGCCCGCCAAAACCCACTTGGAGCAAACAAACGTACTGCAGCCGCCGCGACAGCACCAAACCTTCGTCGCACGGCACGCGCGTTCAGGTCGGCAATTTGCACCACCACCACCACCATCACCACCGCCACCAGTGGCGGCAGCAGCAGAAGAAGAAGAAATCTGTTCGTCAATTTTACCCGTTGGCGTTTCTTTGAATTCCGTAACGGTGTCTCTTGCCTCTGCTGGTGGTTGTCGCTTGACGCCGAGACGGAACATCGTAACCAGCGCCTGGGCGTGCGCCACACGCTGAGGGCACAGAAGCACTAGGACAGGGTTGGCGCCAATGGAAAATTGCAGGTACAACCCATTCTTGGCACACGAGCGTGGTGCCAGAGTCGCAAGCATCGAGGCCAGTTGGCACTTAATCACATGGTCGATGGAGATCGTGAGCTCCGGCAACCGAGCGTGCGGCCGCCGGAGCACCAGCCGGGTGTCGTCCTCCAGCACCACCCACACGCGCTGCCAGTCCTCCACAACACACGGCTTCACACAGCGGTACGCCCAAAAACCCACGCGAAGCTCCAGCGACGCTGTGAGGGATGTTGGTCGCTCCCGACGCTTCGCTGTTGACACGAATTGACGCATCCTGGCAACGACGTCCGCCTCCCTTTGACAGGCACGAGTCAGCAGCTGACGAAACTCCTCAAAAGTAACAAGATCCGCCTTCGGCCCCTCCAGCAGCTTCACACCAACGGCCTGAAAAAAAAGGAGACGGCACGCTGAAGCCACAATTAACGTTTTGCCGTTTGCCGCCGTCGTGCCCAACGCTGCAAAAAAATCTGCCAAAACATTACCGCTTTCCGACACAAACGGAAAAGGCGGATGCTCCAAAGCAGGGAGGTGGACTGCCTCTTCCAGAAGAATCCAAAGACGATCAGAGAACTCCTCAACAATAACAGCCGACAATTGTTCCTGCCGCTCTACATCCAAACGTCTCTCAGACTCCGCACATACCCACAGACTCGCAACTACAACATTAAAAGCCTCTACAAGCTCCAGTCGGCTCACAGCTTCCTTGTCCACAGTAACCGCAAGCTCCTTCATATATAATATCTGAGGTGCAACGTCCGCCGTTAGTGAAAAAGGTGGCACTACACATCCACTGGCAAAAGACTGCGAGACAGCAGAGATACTGCCATCCACATAGTTTCGTTGCAAAGCGGCAATCAGTACCTCCTCCTGGCCCCGGTACTTCTCCAGCTGCGCATCCACGTTGGCCAGCTTGTCGGGGGCGTACTGCTCGTAGATGGACACAACACGGCTGCGGTAGTCCGGTGAGGCACCCACAGCCCCCGAAGGCTCGGGGCCGTACTTGCTGACAAGAGCAGCAATCAGTGCCTCCTCCTGGCCCCGGTACTTCTCCAGCTGCGCATCCACGTTGGCCAGCTTGTTGGGGGCTACTGCTCGTAGATGGACACAACNCGGCTGCGGTAGTCCGGTGAGGCACCCGACAGCCCCC